CTTTCCCTAAAATCGTGAATTTTAATTAGATATACGAGAGTTATTAACCTACAGGAGTAGCACTTCTCAAGGAGTTCTGTTCTCCTAGTATATTTTCGATTCTCTTCCATCGGCCTCGTGCACTGGCCACAACTTGCCACGTTAATATCGAGTTATCCGGCGATTTGAAACGTATTGAAGTGATTTTTGTATATGCCATCGAGAACCGGATCCATAGTACAGCGCGATTTATATAACTGGTTATTATTTTATATTTGCCGTCCGGTGTCAAAAAGGTTTATCATTATCCTTCGTCGTCAGAAAAAAAGGCATAATGTCGGTGCTGGTCGGTGGTTAAGAATCCGCAACAAGAAGATGCGGAAAATATTTGAGCTCGTGCTCATGATCTCTCGATCTTTCTCATGTGTCCCAGTCGAGTGGTTCTCCGTACAATATACGACTCGATAATCGATCCTGCGAGAGTGCTTCTGGAGTCTCTGTCGTTCATAAATAAATGCCATCTCATATGACTTTATATGACAGATTTCTCTTTATAATTTCACAGAGTTACAAATATCTTTCTTTTTACTCATGGAAATTGCTGCATTTGGTAGATGCATACGAGGTTGCGTTAACATAGTGTGCTCACTGTATAATGTATCGATTTTTTTTTTCAGAAGGGCGAGGCAATCTGCAGGAAATTCTGACGGTAAATGCCACCGACGACGATCTTTCGGAGGAGAATAGCCGAATACGATATTATCTATTGCGATCTGTGAAAGGATTTTCGGTACACCCTGTGACCGGTGTTCTGACTGTCAATCGCACAGCAATACCCAGGCCAATACCAAAAGAAATGGACTTGGCGATCGTCGCGGAGGATTATGGCAAGCCTCCGGCATCGTCAATATGCTCAGTTGTTGTGCGACTTAGCAGTCTAAAGAACGCCCTTCCAGGACGGGAGTACAAGATCACAGTGAAAGAAAATTCACCGAAGGGTACAACATTGATGAAGCTGTCCGATGTAGATTTGTTGGATGGCGCCATCGTTGCGGGCGACGATAGCGGAACATTTGAGATATCTAGGGGCAGACTGATCCTATCCAGGACACTTGATCGCGAGACTAAGGATAGGTAAATATCAATGACTTAAAGATTTAAATCAGTACGTCAAAATTTTGATTTAATGTTGTTTCTCGACATTTTTTTTTGCTAAATTTATTTTATTTTATAAATTATCTACTTCTAAAATCATATAATTTTAATTTTGTAGATACGTATTGCGATTGAGCAGCAAAACCGAGAACATAACGACAGATTCACCGATGGAAGACGAATCGGTAATAGTAACAATCATCGTGGAAGATGTCAACGACAATTACCCGTATTTCCTGAAAGAACTTTATCAAGTGTCGATTAAGGAAGATGCTCCACGCGGAACTACCATTGCCGTTCTACGTGCTAAAGATGATGACTTGGTTGACAGCGCGGCGGCTACGTTGATGTACGACATTACTTCAGGAAATGATGGCGGTCTCTTTCGGGTCGAGAGAATGACTGGTGCCATTTTGGTGAACTCCACGCTCGATTGCGACCTCGAGCCCGAAATCTACAACCTCGTGGTGATGGCTTGCGATAGCGATCCGGTATCGCCTTTCTGTGCGCTCGCTATACTTCGTGTTCATCTGGAGGACGTAAACGACAACTCGCCAAAGTTCCCCGTTTCTGAGTATCTCGAGTTTGTCGGCGAAAACGAGCCGATTGGCACGACCGTATTCTCAGCGCGTGCCTCGGATTTAGATCGTGGCATTTTTGGATCATTGAACTACTCTATCGTTTCCGCCGCCGCGAGCGGATTCTCCGACATTGACGACAGTTGGAAACTGTTTGCGGTTGACGAGAAGTCGGGCATTGTCACCACTCGCGCCGTGTTCGATTATGAGCAACGGAATCGGTACGCTTTCACGTTACGTGCTACAGATATGGGTGGCCGTTCTGCAGCGGTGCGCGTTAGGGTAGAAATCGATTCGAGGGACGAATTCTTTCCGCAGTTTACTGAAAGAATGTATAGATTTGGAATAAGAAGCGGAATTCCGATATTACCTGGCACCATAATCGGTCATGTGACGGCAACCGATCGTGATAAGGGACCCGATGGCCGAGTAGTGTACCAGCTAACATCTCAGCATCCATATTTCAAATTGAATCGTACTACCGGCGCATTGATCGTGAAGCAAAAGTTGATGCATATCGATATGGGCGTGGAAGAGTCATCGAGATTGGTAGTCAGCGCGAGTTCCGGTAGACAGGGCTCCTTGTCTAACATGACGGTAGTAGAGATCATTTTAATGGACGACAACGAGCCAAATGGAGTTAGAGGGGCTATTACATTAGCGACACCAGATGGCTCAAATATGGCTGTGGCTACTCCCAGTGGCTTGGCCGATTGGGTTCTAGGACTGTTGATTGCTCTCCTTCTTCTCATCCTCGCCTTTGGCGCTATCTTCCTTTATCTTCATATTCGTAATCGTCGTCACAAAAAACCCGGCACGAAACCAGGTCTGAATGGCGAAAGCAACGCCACTGCGTCCAATAGCTACGTGGATCCAAGCGCATTTGATACAATCCCGATTAGAAGTGTGACCGGAGTTGGTGTGAACGGAAACGGCAGTTCCGGAAGCGCCGGAGGAGCAGGCAGCGCATCTTGTCAATTTGCTCCTCCGAAGTACGACGAAATACCGCCATACGGGACATCCGGTCAATCCGGGCAACAACAAGCTACCTCCGAGCTTTCCGGAAGCGATCAGTCGGGTTCCTCTGGTCGGGGTTCCGCCGAGGATGACGGAGAAGACGAGGAGATCAGAATGATCAATGAGGGCCAGCAAACCGGCGATTCCGCGAGTGATCTTTCGGTTCACAATACTCAGGAATATTTAGCTAGATTGGGCATCGTGGATCCCCCAACTGGTACGCCTAGGAGACCTCCCGAAGCTCTTCCCCTGGACAGTCTGCATCTGTTTGAAGACGAAGCGAGTACTGAGGCGGATATAGCGACGTTGATCTACGGTAAGATTGGAGAACCTGGACGACCCACTTCGGGTCTGGAAGTACCGGGTGGACCGTCGATGAATGGTTCTCTGAGCTCTATCGTTCACAGCGAGGAGGAACTTACCGGCTCATACAATTGGGATTATCTATTAGATTGGGGACCGCAATATCAACCATTAGCCCACGTGTTCAGTGAGATCGCCAGGTTGAAGGATGACGCCGCCAGCGTTCAGAGTGGGAACTCTGGTAGCAGCGGCAAGACCAAGTCTGTACATAAAGCACCGCCACCGCCGTTGCTCACATCCGTCGCTCCGAGGTCATTGGCGGCACCAGCATTAGCGAGAGGGATCCTGCCGAGGTCACCAATCAGCCACGATGCCTCTACTTTTCCTTCCGCCGCTCTAAGTCCGAGTTTCTCACCCTCCTTATCACCTTTGGCTACGAGAAGCCCCAGTATCAGCCCTCTCGTACCACCCACCACCCAGAGATCCAGTCAAAGTGCCAACCGAGGAATTCCCGTCACCGATGCCGAACTGAGGATTTGAGGACACTTTGATTTTACTTCGTGCGTACAAGTTAGTAGTGTTAATTCAGTGATGACTCGCCGAGTAAACGATATTGGTAAGATAATACGATGCCTCGTGTAAAGCAGTGCCCGAATGATATTCCTGTTAATATACATTGTTTAAATGCGATTGAATATATGAATGTTGCTTTCTTAGACTGTGTGAGTGATGTAACTTGTGGGTATGGTATTAACGAGTGATTCTAATTTAGGAATTTTAATTTGACCGGCCATCGAAAAAGAATTTAGTGATCGAATTGTTTCCCTCATTATACGCAAACGTTGCCTTCCCGCGATCAATTTTTATTTTTAATTAATTAACAAAATATGTACTATAGATAATTTCAATTCATATATATATCATTGCGGAGGATGATAAAAATAACATATCTCACTCATAGAAATGAAACAGTAAGCGGGAAAACGGTGATTGCGTCTCGACGATTCCGTATTTATTATACAATACGGATGTATCTTTTGTTCGGATCACAATCGATAGCTAACTGAAAGGAAATACTTCTTCCTGAACGGAATGTGTGTAAATATTTGCCGGCTGCGACGGCGTTTAGTCATTAAGTAGCATTGTAAATATTAATTCACGTGAACAATGATATTGTCATAATCAAAAAGATAGACTGTTCTTATGTAAACCGGAAATTGTGAATGATCGCGCCGTGTTTGTTGCGTGAATGTGTACAGTAATAATCTACTTTTATAATATTGAATTGATATACAAACATGGCGATATCGTTCGAATCGAAAAAAACGTGCTACTACGAGCGAACTGATCATACCGAATTTCGTGGTAGCGCATCTCTAAAGCCGCCCGTATAATTTCGTTGATTAATTGTTACTTCATTTCTGTCTTCCGAGCGCAATTTCGATGTAACGGAGGATGAAATTTCAGCCAGGTACATATATACATATGCACTGATTATATATAAATATATATCATATTTTGTATAAATTGCTCTGTGTACAAAGACTCTCCCGAGCCGAGGGCCTTACCGCGACGTGGGCCTTAAATAAATGAATTTTTTAGGAAGGATTTTTTTTCTTTCATCCAGCCCAACTCTTCATCTCATGTAAGCAATTAATTTAATTACTAATTTTTTAACTTTCGTTTAAAATATGTTATCTAATTAGGAAGCTTTTAGGAAGAGACGGACATTTGATTTAATGAAAAAGACAAAATGTTTCCACATATAAATCTGCTTCTTGTTATACAACACGTTGAGTCTTATAAGTATACATGTATTTTTCAGATTATTTTGATAAGTTTATTCCATATTATCTCTGCCCGTTTTATTTCCATGTCTATTACATTGCATTGTCTCACTTTATCAATGCTTGAGCATAAAACGTGCCGAGCAACAGGAACACCCGATATATCACTCGAAGGAATGGTAAGATGTTCTAAACAAATTCAAGAATTAATATCATAATGAACAAAACTCTTAACCTGCTATATTATAAGTTAAATTAAAATAGAAAAGAGAACTTATTCTATATTAATAATTAACAACGTTTTTCTCTGTTTCTTACATAACTATTGATTTTTACAATTTTTTAAATTTCAAGTTTTTAATTTCTGATTTACTTTTATTTTGAGAAATGATTAATTTCCATATATGTATGGTAAAATATAAATGCTATTCATGCATCTACAATTTACTTTGGTTAAGTTTATATTTGGTGAAAAGATTACTTTGAATAATATTTATAAGCTAAGATAATCTAATTTAAAGTAGCTTTCGTTTTTGGGTCGAACCACATGTGTAACAACAAATAATTCCTTTCGTAAAGATATATGAAATAATGTCATTTATTCACCCCGGAGAAATCCATGGTGAAAATTTGAATAATGCATTGCAATTTATCAGGAATAGATCAACATTTAAAATTATTGAAAACGCTCTAATAATACTATGTCGAATAATTTGTACATTTAAACAGTCTCTACGATGAAACACGTATCGACCTATCTATCTAGTGCCTAGAATCAGCGAAACCATATAGGAATCGTTTACCCGATTATGTTATGTCTAGCAAAACGATTATTTTTATATTGTGTAGCCAGTCTTGTTGCCGCTCGATAATGAGCTGCGCTATTTAATTTCTCATTTTCTTCGTCATTAGATTATAGAAGAATTAGTATATGTCTTCCACATAGGATCGAAAAAAAAACACGAATTTTGTTTATTCTAAGCTGCTAAGTGGACAACATTATACTGGAAGATATATTATTCTATGCAGGGGGAGAGGGAGGAGGAAGGGAGCACTATAATAAAAAAGAGCGCGATGAGACAGAATCTTAAAAATCTATAATTATGATTAATAAAAACGGAAGTTATTGAAATTTTTTCAAACATTGCTCCCATATTAAATTTTTCTTCGAAATTTGATTGCTAAAATGCTAGAGATATAATTTTTTTATTGCATGTCCCCGATACATATTGTATAACAAAATCCATATATATTTACCTGTCTCAGTAAACTTCTGTCTCAGTAAACTTCTGTCTCAAGCACTCTTTTGCAAAGACATTCGTCTTTCAAAAGTAGAACACCTAAAGTGGTTCTATGCACCAGTTTTTCTGTCAGTTAATGGTCCAATAGTTAATTCGATATGACTTCTAAAATCTATTTAAAGTCCTATGCCCGGTTGTAAGTCTTCTTTTGTCGTATCTTTTGCGTGGGGTCTATATTGATCTCTGCTAAACATGCATTATTGTTATGTAATCGTTAATTAATTTCCTTCTCTTGATTTGGATTGTAATCAGTGACGTAATCAATACACGATAAGAAGCGAGTGGTCTTCACAGAGTGCAGTCTCTAAGCTGTACGTTATAATCATATGTAAGATAATAAAAATGTATTTGTTGTGTATTTTCTAGATATGTAGAGATATACATGTAGCTATCTAATAGTTATCACATAAAGCTCCATCTCCAATCACCGTAAAAAATTTTTTTATCTCTGATAGAGAAAATCGTATTTGTCGCGTCACTGAAGACAGTCGTGCTCAATCCCCGTATTCTGGGCTAGGACATTCTAAAGACATCGAAAAAGCATCAGGGATTGGCATCTAATACTACACATGACCATGGCACGAGGGTACACCCAAAAAAAAAGAACTCGAGAGACTTTTTTACTTTCATCGCGCCTACCCGTAATTGGCGCATCGAAATAAGGCACCACATTCGACGCTGTTTATGCGATCGATCGTAGAAACGGTCATCGAGCCCTACGAAGATGCAATAGAATCTCCGTGATTCGCTGTAGTTATGAGTCTTTATCTACGATCATCAACTATTGTTTATTCGGGTGTGAGTCGGTAAGTCCGATTAAAAATCTCTTTCCCAATCCAGTTTAATTTCTCAGAGTGGTGTGTGCTTGGACGATTTATATCGTCCAAGTCCGGACCGACTCTTTACTTGTACAACGTCGAGCGCAGTTAGTATCGTCTCATAGTAATTAATGAAACGCGCTTTCTCCTCGAGTCTTTGAAAGTCTCGACCGAAGTTTCAAAGTACAATATATTAATTCTTATTGCTCTCTCTCTCTCTCTGTGCCTGCGTCACACGTACCACATTCCCCATTGTTATTGACTTTGAATCTTGTATTGGCGACTGTATTTCCTACGAGAGTTCTCGCAGTTCGCCTCTTGTAGAACTCTTTGCGGAAAATCTTTACAAACTTTGAAAATTATTAAAACGAGGAGAAGCAGAGGAACTAAACACGCCTTTGGCGCAACGTATGTTTTTGATCCTCGTTGAATAGGCTTGTTTAAACAGGGAAGTCGATTCGCTTGTTTCAACAAGATTCCGCGATGTGGATTATTCTGTGGGGTTAACGATTAGTCAAACGGTCTCTTCTGTTATACTTCTCGACATGTGCAAAACTCCGAGGCTGAAAAGAAAAAAAGTAGTTTGAGGGATATATTTGCAGCTTACCCGAAGACTTGATAGAAGAAAATCGTATATGAGAGCTATTCTCTTAAAATTATTTTTACGTCAAAGATTTTGATTCCGTCAAGTCTTCATTTTGTTTACTACCGATCTACAAATAAGTCAGTGAGTCGCAAAAGCGAAAGATGTTACTAATGAAACAATGTGATCTACTATGATCGTACAAAGTGATAGCCTAGCCCTACCAACAAGCGTGTTTACTTGGCGATCCCCGCAATTCGTGCGTCGTCTTGCATCTCGACGACGACGGTGTCAGGATCAGGTACCCTGTTGGCCGAAAGACATCCATTGGCGATAGTAGTTGGCAGCACAGTCTCCGACTAAAATTAAATGAATATCGCGCATTGTTAAAATACCAGGGTTAAAATAAAAATTTCTTTTTTCGAATGACATACTTTTTTCGGATAACTAATATGTACATACATTATTAATTGCAAAGTAATTAAGTTATGTATTTTACTTGATAGGCTGCTGCGTCCAATGCCATGAGTTCCTTTTTCGACAGCTGCTCGACCACTGCAGCGGCGTAACAGTCTCCTAGCATATTGTTGGTGGTCCTTATCCGATCTCTAGTAGATATAGAACAATTCTCATATTAACAATAAATCTTAATATTTTTCAATCGATATAATAATTGTCTTGAACGTAAATGTGCATATATCGATACTTACACAAACCAATCAATCGCGAATAAAAGAGAAACGTCATTAACGGGAGCATCAATGGCGCTTAGAACGACCAACAGCAGGACAAGCGCAGCACTTGGTACCGAGGCCGACGACACAGAAGCGGCGGTGGACGTCAGACTTCGCAAAACAGAATGATGAAATAACCATGAATATAATATATATATATTTTTGGCGGTATGATTATATGTAAAAAAGTTTTTTGAAAGACTTACATAACGGTGATAATCTCCCCGAAACCCAGAAAAATACCATTCATCTGGGCGATGAATATGCTGGCCACAGCGACGAAGAGCGCGGTACCATCCATGTTAATATTGCAACCGATTGGCAAGACGAATCTGGTAACTCTAGGGTCGACTCTGAGCTTCTCGGTCATCAGACGAAAAGTCACAGGAAGTGCAGCAGCCCTGTACAAAGCTGCGTTAGCAAAGATCGGGTAAGGCACGCTTCCGATGATAGTAGAAAGATACACTCCATGACGCCTGTTGCCGCAGTCGGTGGTCATTCTGGCGTCAACTTACGAGATAGATGTCGGCATGATTTATCGATAATTTCTTAGATATAATTGACCAAGGGTTGAATTGAACAAAACGGAATAGAAGGGGGCAGAGAAATGGTGTGTATGAATAGAGAATATTCGGAATTAATATCGACGCATATTAATTACGGAAAATATCTGCAAATAGTAGACAGAGTGCCAGAGCAACAGCCAGAATGACCGTGAGAACAACCTGAAAAATTAATCGGGATTAGCTTAGATCACAATCCGCAGGATATCCGCCAGAAACCGCGTTACTTGTTGAATTCTGTAACAGACAATCGTATATACCTTCATGTTGCGGCCATCAATTACTTACCAAGCCCTCGGTCTCTCAAAGTCAACCACCTGCAAAAGGCCGCGTGCAGTGCGTGTTCTAATACATCATCATGATATTCATACAGTCTCTGTTCAGATACACTGAGAACAGAGTTTCTCAGTCAGTCACAGTGTACGCACAGTTGTGTACGCTCTTTTCTGGAAACAGTTAATCCACAGAGAAAACAGATTGAGTTAGATACAACTGTATAAGACCTAGCTGGATCAAAAACAATATAGGCACTGCTAAAACAATAATAGAGGACAGTAAACGGGAATAGAGGAATAACGGATAGATTGTGGATTGTGCGGGATGAGTTTTTCGAATATATTTTAAACGTACGTGTTGGATTTGCGAATAAAAAAGGGGTAAGATTTCAGAGGATGACTCGTAGTGCGAACTGAAAAAATGATCGTTGCTTTGTGTGACTCTTAAAAATGAATTATCAAGAGGCAAATAATCGCACGTTGTTCAGCAGTACAGCCGGTCATCAACGTCCTCGTCGTACCTGCAAGAACGAGCTCGACACACAAGCAACCAATATTTTTTCAGTTCCGCCAATCTGTTTTTTTAAAAAAACCGTGTACTTTAAGTACTTATGTTAAATCATATACTTTGGCGTGGAGGCCTCCTTTGGCAGTTTCTTTTTCCTCTTCCTTGTCATTACGAAGAAAGAGTCTAAAGATACCGATCACGAGTCCCTAGCAGACTTCCACGCCGCGAATCAGTCCAGGTAACACGGAGTCAGCAGATCTCCGGTTTAGGCAACATCATTGCCGAATAGTTTTACTCTCGTGATAACGCAGACAATGCTTTGAAAGTTCTCTAGAATTTCTTATTCGCGACGATAATATATTATTTGCGCGATGACGAAATTCCGTTTACGTTACCCTAAAAGATTTGGCAACGAGTTTCCGGAACTTCGTATATATCGATGGTCGGAAACCGGAAGTATCAGCATTCTAAGTGTTACCCGGAACTGCATACCT